GGGGGGGGGGGGGGAAGAACTGCTTGTTACCAGTATGTCCGATTAACAATGCATTGTAACGCAATATCCTAAAGCAACATACAATTTCTTATTCTTTTCTTATTGGCTGACCTGAAACCATAGAAGTCCAAGCACACAACAAAATCAAAACTAACTTCTTATTCTTTTCTTACCATTTTTCAAGATCCAAGCAGAACTAAGGCGTTCAAAATACAAACCTTCACCTATGTCAACACCAATTTCTTATTCTTTTCTTATTATTTTTAAGAACAGAAATGATCTTAAAAAAATGCAAAGCAACATAAAGAGTTTAGGAGTCCAAGATAATAACCATCTGCCACGCAAGAAAAGTGAATAAATTCCATTCATATCAAGCAGTAAGCACTCTATTACGAAGGTAATGAGCTTTATGCTGATCTGTAAATTCATCAACTTGGAACATTGTAACTCTCGTAACAGCCAAAGCCTCATCCCCGCAATCCTTCCCAACATTTAAGCTGGNTACTTGGACAGAGCTGCTTGTTACAAGTATGTCTCCATTTACTTCTAATTCAGGGGATGCACCCTTTCCCTACATTCTCAAATTCATGAGTAACAGAGTAAGTGTGGTTCCACATAAACATCCAAAAACCAAGAAAGGAGTTAGAGTTGTGGGTGCAGAAATAAAGATTAAAAGTATGATAAATTTTTCGTATAAAACGAGAGATCCAGCCATCCAGGTAATACCTCCTCATTAAAGTCCTGATTTCTTGCTTCATTAACATCTATACAATGTGAAGAAGTAAAGTCATCATCCGAAACTTCAGCCCCACAAGAAGATCCTTCATGCCCTAAGGTGGAAGTAGTGCTCTTCCCATTATACAGACAAGCCAAAGAAGGCCAGATCATGCAAAATCAGAAATAAGAGGCATGTCGAGTAAACCAAACAGTAGATTGGTCACATAAAAATGCAATTGAAGCTCTTCAGAGCATGCAATTTTTTGGACTAATTCTTTGATATCACTTAAATCTTAAGCTAAATCAAAGCAAGTAGCTTTCAAAAATCTTTTCAAGCCAAAAAAAAAAAAAGGAGAAGCTAGTGAGATCATGGGTTAAAAATGAGGTGCAGAGTGGACAAAGGTAGCTTCTGTAGATTGTTGGGGCTTTAATGTAGTATAGATATTAATAGGCGCCTGGCCGATGCAATACCTACCGTATAATGGAGGTCTAATTTCGATAAGAATGAACTAGTTCCATCCTGTTTATCATCAACCCAGTGTGTATCACAATGAGCTTCAACAGGATCTGAATCTAGATGAATGCCTTGTCTTTCAGTTACTGTTGGTTTTGCTCGAGCAACTTCACCATTTCCTGCATTCTCAGTTGTTAAATGCTCACTCTTCTTTTCTCTGACATCCATTTCCTCAAGGTAAGAAACATCAGCAACCTATTTGTCAGACCAAGCTTACCATCAATAGACAACAAAAGCATTCGCACCAAAGTTCAAGGACAAAATTATGCTAATAACGCCAAACTGGAGGAATAGACCTTACTGTCACTTTTCAAGAGAAATACAGCTAACAATACTGTCAGGATTACACAGTGTAGGTGTCAGTTGCATATACATTTTGAGTTTTATAAAACAGTACCAAATAACGCCCCATTAAAGGCACCTATATAAGGGGACTAGAGTATGAACAAATACCTTCAGAGGATAAAACAGTCTACAGATCTAAATCTCCACTTGATTAGAGAAATAAACTACATGTTCAGGTTGCCCTGTTTACCTAAGTAGATCTAAGAATATGAGTCTGACTACAAGAAAATAGAGGGAGACCAAGTCCTCCCTCAGCCAACCCCAACAATGAGAAAGTACCAAAACCAAAAAATTACCACTTTCACCAATATGCGTGATTATCTCGCATTTTCTGCACCAGCTTTGTGAAATGATTAAATGATTACTGCCTTTATCTTCTATTTGATATTAGGCACATACAGATTGTATCTTGGCAAAGAGAAAATGATCATTCAAAGGGTTCTTGGTAAATCCCCATATTGTGCTCTTGATTGAAAACTCTCCACCTGCAAGTGTTTGTTATTGAGCTTCCCCACCTCAGTTGACTTATGTCATAAGTTAACTTCTAGATTCAATATTTTCTTCTGTTAAATTGTAGGCTTTTAAATTTAAGTAAAGACAAGAGCATGGCATTTTGCAAGGCTTGTTATGATTGTTAGGGACAACCATGCAATGCACAAAATGAATGAGCATGAAAGTGATCTATGATATTAATCTTTTCCAAGAATACCTCTATTGCCTGTACAGCGTCATACTTCCCATCCATTGTAGATGAAACTTGACGCAAACTCTTATTAAGATTTTGCCATCGAGACTCATCTGAAGTATCCTGGTTACAAGGCATTAAGAAAAATTAGCAAAAAGAATTTCCCAAGTGAAACTTTCACAGAATATATATTAAACAGAAAGTCACCTTTGCAATAAAAATATATACATTTACTCCCTTTGTTTGCCCTTGTCTATGAGCTCTGCATTCGGCCTACAAATGGTTAGACTGCATATAAGCATCAACCAATCAGACAAGAACTAACTACTTCAATCTTTAGAAGATCTTGCAAAAAGAACAGGGCACTGGATGTTGGTATTGATAATGGAGAATAATCTGGAACCCAAGCATGTGACCAACAACAAGGGAAAATCGAAATTGAGCATGGAGATCCATGTTAGGAACATTCACTATCGACAAAAGTGTCTAATATTGGTACACGTCAGTTATGCAGAAAATTTTAAGGGCTACCTTTCCTAGGATCATCATGTTTACCTTGGTGATATAAAAGTTTATGCTCTGGCTTCATTAATGTGCACGAGCCCTGTGTGGCATGCCATTCATGCTTGAGAACAACCTATGTTAAGACAATATGCTTAGTGGGATTCCAGTTCATTGTCTGTAGTATTCAATTGGTGATGGTACATCACACAATCGCAATTTTGTTTAATTCTCAACTCACCAGTTAGAGAAGTGTGCAGGATAAAGTGAAGTATTAGGTTCCAAGGGAAATTATAAAATCGTGGATCAGTTCACTCATTGCCAATAGTCTTAAAGTAATGCTTTATGCACTTTTCTGGGTTGAGCATTCCTGGGAAAGATGTAACGAAGCATTCACTACACGGAAAAGAATTCACACAACTGCCCCAAAGGGTTACCACAGAGATTCATCGCACCAGACAAAACGGGTGTTAAGAGCATTGGTCAGATATACAACTCCATTTATCCTTCACTAGACAGGCACCCAATGTGTGTGCACCATTTTTGAATTCGTAAAGCAGTTCTAAATCTGCTGGAGAAGAAAGAGAAGTTGGGAAAAAGCAAAACATAGCGCAACGGAGCAGAAATAGAGATCTCACTTTTCAATAGGATGACCTATCTAATCTTCTTTCCTTGGGGAGGTGAGATAAGGATACGATTGGAAATAAATGAAAAACAGGGTTTCACTGAAAGAGTTTTACCGATTTACACCTCTGCCTAATAGTAGAGATGGCTCAGTAACGATTTGAGAGCAAAATTCAAGTGTTAAACAACTTAGCCTCTTTACAGAAAAGTTACATATATATTCAAATGCAACCATTGAATTGAATGAGAGCAAAAGAAAAAGAGTAACAAGTAGATTAGACTTCTAAGTAAATAATTTTCTCCACTGATACAATATATTGATATTGGGGTATAACAGATTCACCTGTTGCATGTGAGCTGGTTTTGTTGGCAACTCCAAGAACACCACATGTTGCGCTGATGTTAAGTTAAGTCCAGATCCACCAGAGAGTATTCCAACAAGCGCAATCTTAACCTGGTAATCAAAAACAAAACAACTCAGCCAAACTGTCTTCCTTTCAAGTGCACAACTCTATCCAAATTAATGGCAAAAACACAGAGCAAGCAACACCAATATCCAAAAGAAAGAAACAGACTTGCATCCAATGATAGCCATTTCATCCATGAGATTATAAATGCTGCTTACGCTTTTGATTAGTATCATATAGGCAGGCAAAGCGATTTGTTTCGACTGCCTAAGTTACCAGTAATAATGAACTCCAAATTATCTGGAGCAGAATATACGAACCTCATTTGCTGATTGGAATGATTGAATAGCTAACTGCCTATCACTTGACGATGCATTTGCATCAACGCGAATATAATCAATATTTTTTTGACAAAGAAACTCCTACAAAAGTGACAATAATAATGGGAGCAAGTCAAACCAAGAGAAATTTGATGAGTTAGTTGATACAGCAAAAAGAAGTGTGTAATTTGTCCATGCAAATAGACATGTGAAGTCTATTTTAACATGCATTTCAAGGGATTTCACCTGTACACCATCAAGAACTATATGGTGATGAGCAAATATTATCATTTTATGACAACTGCGGCTTGCTTCCGTTGTTTCTTCACCATCCAATTCTGTAATGATAGGATGTATAGAGAGCCACTCGAAGAATCCTGGCAATTTTGCAATGCCAAGCGCTTCGTCATAGAGCTCTCTTAAAGATCTGCAAGAGCCAGTATCATCTGACAAAAAGACAAAAAGAGCAAGTATATTAAACCCATTAGGAAATACAAATGTCACAAGTAGCTCCTTTTTTATAAGGTAAATAATTCTATTGATATTGGGGAAATCCCCGTACACAAGCAATATACCAAAGAGTAGAAAGTCCACATTAAACATGATTCTTTACAAAAGCCACTTAATCATCAACACAAACCGGGAATTCAAGGGTGCACCAAAAGGAAACTAGAGAGAAGAGGCTATTCCTCAAATATAGAAAATCATTCCCAGCCCCCTCAAACACCTTTCTATTTTTCTCCTTCCATACCACAAAGAGCTAGGGCTGCGACATCCCATGCTGAGGGTCTTATCCATGACGCACACTCAAAAGCTTGTCAAAATAGCCCTAGTTTTGCATCCATTTGCCTCTATTGCAAAAGGTGCTGCAATCCTTTGAGAAACTAAGGTCCTCATAGTTACTTTACCGTCAAAAGGTCCATATAGTACTGTGCATGATGTCTCATCTTCTACCTATGATAACATTCTTCCAGTTGTAATTCCTCCACTTAGCAAATCCACATCAGTTTCAACTGACACTGACATTATTTTCCCTCTAGAAAGTTCAAATTCACCAGAGGACTTAAGTTACATTTAATTTATTTTATTTTTGCTTATTATTCTCTTTGGATATGTCTAATAGGCCATATGTATCCATATTTTAGATTTGGTGACAAATTGTGTTCTCTTCAGTCTTCCCCATTTAAGGAAGCTGACAGATTCATGTATAAGGTACAGATTAAGCCTAATAAACAATAAATTGACTATTGCTAGTTGTTTTTCTCACAAAACGTAACTACTGGGAAAATTGGATGAAAGGGACCAAGGAATACCACCAAACAACAGAATCTAGTTTGAACATCTAGGGTCATTTATAACATACCATCAACTCTTTCAGGAGTTTCCAGTTGCACATCTTCAGTAACAAACTTTAAATCCTCAAAAGCTTTCCCTACATCTTTAGCACATGAGTCATCATTGATTACACCTTCAGCCTCGTTGGCACCACAGTTCCCAGAAGCTCTGCCTTTCAACAAGTCAACGGTAGCCACTGCCTGAGAAATATCTGATTTTTTTAAAGTCAAACTTATAATTTGGCGCCGCAAGGGTGGTAACTGCAAAAGCACATGCTCCTTCAAACGACGTATCTGGATGATACAAATAAATGAAGAATAAGAGCTAAGTCTTCAATATCTGGAGGGAAATAAAGTAGCAGGGAAAAAAGGAAATAATAGTGCAGCATATCTAATAATAATAGTGCAGCATATCTAACTGCAGATGCTGATTATCTCAGCATAGAAAGCATTCTGTAATAATAGCTTGTGTACATGAATACATAATACTCCCTCCGTGCCAAACATGACGACCCACACACTGTCTTGAGAGTTAAAAGGCTATTCCTCAACCACAATTTTTTCAATTATTCTTTGTATTTTTAAGGTCTATGTGTCAGAGAGAACATCACATACATTTCTTACAGAATTTAATGTATTTATGCATATTGAGGAAAAAAATAATCAATAGTTCAGGTTGTTGAGAATTTTAAGGTAGAACTACATCCAGAATCCTTACTTATTGGTTGTCATCAGCAACAACCTGAACTTCACATATTGGAAAAATATTATCAAAAATTACACACTTTACCAAATGAAAGTGCCATCATTAGATATCAATCTCAACTGTACAGCAATCTTCTGTTTGTCAAAAATGAAATAGTGGATAGTAAACCTACTGACAGCAGCGTGACATGAGCAGTTTGACATCATGTACTTACAAGTCGCTGAGAGATTGAAGATGAGGACAAAAACAACGTACATCACGAAATATACAATGAATTGAAGCAACAAAGGAGCTACAAGGCCATACCATTACAGTTTGCTTCAGCAACACATTTAACTCCTCCAAGCGAACCCCCTTTGAGAAATCCTGTGAAGACCAAACCATGAACATTTTCCAGTGGGATTTGCCTCTCATTCAATATTTGAAGGAACAAGAGTCACCTGGAAAACCTTCCCTTGGCAGCCATGAACAAATCTAACCGAACAGTAAGTCTTTGCAAAGTCATATTTAGTCTTTCCAAGTAAACCGGGCCTAGGTGAAACCAAGAAAGAAGTATGAGAAGAGAATTAATGACCATCGAAAATCAACAGAGTAAAAGGAACTCAGAGAAAATGGAGAAACAAGTAACTCACCATAAGATATTTATCTGATGAAAAATGTCATAAGGCCTACGAGCATTTAGGGAAACAGGAAACAGGCATCAGAATGCAATTGACATATGCAGAAAATTGCCATAATCGAAAAGAAACAAAGTACATTAGCAAGTTAAGACTGCCCTCAAAGGATAACTAAACTTCAAAGATCATGCATCAATAAAAGTGTCAATACATGCTACAACCTTGACAAAGATGGAGTCCCAGATAATAGAATTACATGCTTGGCCTTTGTCGCAACATCAAGAACAGTTGTTATCTGTCAAACAACAAAAGAGAACTCATATGCAGTAAAACAAACAAGTATTGGCTATGCACAGTAACTGATAATGAAAAACGTTGATAATTGGAAGTGCATCCGCTAAAAACCCGAAGTTCCAAATTCATGCATCATGCCTCATAAACATCTTGATCCTTTAATGAAGAGAAAGCATCACCCCTTCTTTAATTGAGAGTTTTGTGCCTCTCAAAAGTTTGTTCTATATATGCATCTCTAAGACTCTAACCTACCATAAAAATTTATTTCTTGACAAATGTCGTATCTGATACAGAACCAAGATGGCAAGTCTGAGACTTCTACCCCAAACTTGACAAGGGCTCTCCATTTACTTCTTTATCAGCAAGTATACAAAAGTTGTGGCCTTGTAGTGGGTTAATTCGTTGCTTATGAGTCCATCAAGTCGGTCTTGAGGCTTGTGGTGTAAATGTCCATATCTATGACAACAACAATATACCCAGTAAAATCTCACTAGTGGGGTCTGGGGAGAGTGAGTATATGCAGACAAGGGTAGAGAGGCTATTTCCGGAAGACTCTCGGCAAATTTCCATATCTATGACAACCTCAAAATTTTGGAGTGGAGAGTAAGCAGCTGATAAATCTTTGACCCATCAGTAAAAACTGAAGAGCTTTGACGGTCTTCATACACCATTTTTGAAAAGTATTCAATTAACAATTTTTTCTCTTTAATCTATTTAGGGGTTTTGACTCCGCATCACCAATATCTATCATCACTAGAAAATAGAGCAACTCTTAACACAAATGATCCTGTGTTCAACCCTGATAAACTGCAAAGTGGATTTTCAACTCAGTTTTATGTTTGATTTAGAAAAACCTAAACTGGAAATCAAGAATATAAGCACATGCAGTATAAAGGAAGACTATATGGGTAATAACGTCATAGCTTTTCCCATGTTAACCAAAAGATTTTTGTCTTTTGCGTCCCACTTCAGTCATGTTTTTCGCTTCTAATTCCTAAGTCTTTTCTATTTGATGTTGACTAATTGTTTTTTTTTGAAATCAAACACAATTTCATCCTTTCACCAACTAAGTGACTCGTGAAAAATTAGTATTTAGTGGAAAGGTTCTAATGCCACTAATCAAATGTTTAGAGATCAATACCCCAACTTTTTACACCTCAACCATCAATTGGTATTATCGTAATCAGTAAATGGTTAGACAAAGAGCTAAATATATTGAAGTAAACACTTATTTGACTAGTTACTTAAAAAATAACTTGATCTTAGTTATCTAAAGATTATTTTTTCTCAGAATGGACTTTGTACCTCGTCATTTTCACATGCTTTCTTTGTGCAACGCAAATTATGTGATTCATCCACAACCAAGGTGGCCCATTCTTGTTCCACTATGTTCCTCCTCAAGCGACGAAGCATCGTATATGATATCACCACAACCCTTGGACATTTAGGTAAACGTGCAGGATTGTCTTTGTGACCAAACACTAGATGAAAAAGATGAATACATAAAAATCGAATGTAAGACATAAAACTAGAAAAGGCAAAAAGCCTAGAAGGACATCCTAGTTAGTCATGCTAGCTCTAAATGAATCAATTTACAGTTAGATAATTCCTAAACGAGGAACTCAGCAATATATTTGTTGTTTATATTCAACTCAAATATAGTTAACAACAAAGTTGTTTTCCAGCAGAACTTGATATATAAAAAAAGACCCACAGAACAAAGGGAAATAAATTATTATTTTTAATCAGAAAAAAATCCATCGAAACAAGGGGGAGAAATAGATTCCATAAAGATAATAAAGAAATGATTTTTTTAATGACAAGAGAATCATGTTCAATGCTTTCTTTAGGTTGGGATCAACAAATGATTAATTTTTGTACACAGAAAAATGAGAAGAGGTCTGTTCATGCAGCATAGAGTCTGATTAAGGGTTCAGTGTTTCATTTATAGTCCCTAGAAGCTTGCCTTTCGATACGACCATTCAAAGAGTTAAACTATCCAAATAAGGGTGAGAACGCAACTCTTATTCTCCCAATGAAAGTAAAGTAGGTAAACTAAATGGATAAAAAATTTGCCTAACTAAACCTGCCACCCGGGCCATAGAAAGGGTGGTATCTAAAACCATTCACTGCCATTCAAGACTCAGCCTTTTTCGAAGAAACAATCCATACAACTCATCCAAAAGTTACTCAAGAAAAATATACTATAAGAGCTATATACCCGTTAGATAACTAAAAAGAACTCTACCTGCGGCAAAACTGAAACAAACTTCCATTAGTTCACTCCTAGAGATAAAGGACAGTGGTCAACAGTAAAGGGAGCGGACTCTTCAATTTTGATGTCATACCCGTGTCGATACGATGTGGGTGTAGGTGTGAGTGTGGGTCTGGGATCTGGTCAACTAATTTTTGGGTACTTTGACCTAGCTCAACGGAGAAATTCTAGACAGATACAATGATTTTTGAAATCAAAACAAAAGCTAGAGTGAAATTGAAGAAAATGCAATATCTTGTATATACAAATTTCTATGTCAATCCTTTTCCTTTTATCTCCTTCTCGGATTCTCCTCTTGATTGATATATCTCCTTCTCGGAGAATACCTTGTAAGTTTTTCACATAATTTTTCATAATTCAGATAATTTTTATAACTTTTAGATATTTGAATTATCTTTAGCCGAATACCTGCACCCGTATCCGTACTCGGATGTCTATCCCCGAAGTTTAATATTTAGATCATGAAGTAACCCATATCAGATATGTGCACCTGAGTCCGATCAACTTAGGGTCACTAAATAGACTTACATCAATTCCTTCTTCACTAGTATGTTCCCTCTAATTATCATACACCACAAAGTCCTACTTTAGGATTTGTAAATCAACAAATACATGACAACAACTTTTATATCGTTAATGACTATAACTTCTCCATGCACTCATCCCTAGTCATCACTTTTCATAGAGAGAAAAAGGGGAGATAAAGGAAGAGAATGGTTATTAGTGATGGACAATTTTGAAAACAGTACCCAGATGGATATCAGAAGGTAAACAAGGAAGCCAGCGCTCCAGTTCTTCAGCCCATGGATATCTCAAAATAGCTGGGCAAACTATGAGCATAGAACCTTCATCCATGAAAGAACTTGCAATGGTGATAGCCTGAATACAAAAATGTGAGTTAATATTCGAGGAGAAACTATTTTGTGAAATATCAACCTACAGAAGAAGGTATTGAATTTAGAATATACTAGATTCAAAACACTCAGTTTAAGGCAAAAATGTGCAAGGAGACGCTCACACATTAAGACACATACAAAAAAGAAAGAGAATTGTAGAATTAATTCAATAGATCCTCCGAAGTACAAAAGTCTACAACCAATATAGAAGATTGATTTCATTGACGACCACAACAAGAAACTTAGAACTGAGAGCTTTGGCAACCCAACCCAATCTATGGCACCAAGCGCCATACGGAGGAATTTGCCATAGCCCAGAAGTTGTCATCTTTAGTATCAGTCAAGAACATACTTAAGTATTCCAGTTATTTCTTCCTTAATTTTAGCGTAACTTCTACCAAATTTATTCCTGTCAAATTTGAGTTAGTTGAGTAACGATCAAGCCAAATCAAGTATCAGAACTTGAAAAAAATAGTTTAAGACTATAGCTTTTCATATAATAGCTGAATGGAGAAAAATCTATCCTACAATGAGTTACACATGTTAGAAGTGCACTCAACAACAAAGGTCGCCCGTCTTCCTGAACAGCTAGTTACCTCAGATATACATAGACAGTAATATTCAGTTATCTATTTCAGCAACATTACCTGGATCGTTTTCCCTAGTCCCATCTCATCTGCAATGAGACATCGACCGCCCCTTCTCAATCCAAACCGAACACCTTCAAGCTGAAAAGGATGAAGTGTATCCAACAATCTTTTAGGAAGTTTGCTGATCAAATCATCAACCTTCTCATCAGGAAGATGCTCCGGCCTACAAGGTATCCATCGACCTGCAGCGGATGAATGAGAAAGTCTCTCGACTACATTGAATGTTCCCCAAGGGATCTCTTCACATTCAATGCTTCTAGAGTTCTTTAGAGACTTCAGAACTGCTTCATAGTCTCTAACTTGATAGACACAAGCCTTTCCCCCACTAGTCGTTTGAGTGTAATGCGACAGCGCCACCTGATCAGATAAACTAACATGGTTGAGTTCCTGGATTAATATCTTGGACTGCTAAAAGATAAAGGCTTCAGACAATTTCACAATTTGCAACAAAGGAAACAGATTACCAGTAAAATTACTCAATCCATCAATTACTAGATCAACGGCATAGAAGCTTTGGATTCAATTAAGAGTTAAAGAGAATGTTCCTTTAAATAACGAGAGAGAAATCCTACACCCCGAAATTTGACAATGCTTTCAAAGGGCAAATGAGAGATGATGATGTCATGTCCTACGTCGACCTACATATGCATAGGTCGATAGGCGTGAAACTATGGTGAATGAAGGTGTTAAAAGGAGACGAGGTAGACCTAAAATTACATGGAAGGAAGTTGTCTCGAAAGACTTCTTTAGATCAATGCATACTTAGCTAAAAATATGGCACAATGGAAGAAAAAGGTCCATATAGGTTGTATCTAGTGGAGAATATGATCTAGTCTTGTTAGAAAACTTCTAATATTATTGCTATTATTACAATTATTTATATATATCTAACTTATTTTTCACTTTCACTGGTATGATGATACATGAGTTGAGCGTAAAGGGACAAGTGAGGATTCATATAGCCGACCACAACTTGTTTGGGACTGAGGCATAGCTGTTGGCCAATTATTTGAAGGAATAAATGAACATATAAGCCCACAAAAAGATTAAATATCGACTTACACTAGATGTCAAATAAACAGAAAAAGATAAATCAACTTGGCATACATCAATCTAACACAAAACCGATCCTATCAGTTGAAAGTCTTGCAACCCAACATAGGATTTCACATGAACTACGAGTCCAATGAAGACATAAATGTAGGCTATAACTAACATAGTATTGTGAGAAAAAGTTCTTACACATGAGAGGCAATCTCTGAGTTTTTCCATACATTGTTGTTCACCGGGATAAGTAAATCCTTCCAGGGGCGCGGGAGTGACAGAGAATGAGTCCGGTGAGCAAATTTCAAGCCTGGCCCTAAACTTTTGTGGTGGAGGACTAGGGGTGCAGGGCATGGGAGGTGGGTTGAGGGGAGAGGGAGTTTGAGGCTTATGGAAAGAAACATTACTGGGCAAAAGGGAGATCTTTCTGCATTTGAAATGCTTCCAAGAGTCTTGGTTGGGTTCAGTGAGTCGGGTTCTGCGCTTCGCTAAGGCGGCGAGACGATTGGCTTCGGCTCGCTTTCTCTGCTCTTCAGATATCTCTTCTTCAGCTTGTTCTTCTTCTCCCTTCTCCATTTTTCTCTCCGATGGGTGAGAGGAATTAGTGAAGATGAAAACCGCGCGGCATTCTTGTTTCTTGATTTCTTTATTTCTTTATTTGTTTTCTTTTTATAATAATTTGAACCGCCTTGCGTGGGTTTGGTCATTCAAAATTGGGGAAGTTACATGATATATCCGTTTATAAAACTCAATATACCTAAGTTTTGAAATTATATTAAATATTCTAAAAATATTATACGGTATAACTCCATATATTCTAAAACGTATCACGATATTCTACTTTGGAATACAATTCAAACCTAACTTACTATATATTCTAATTTAGAATAAAATATTCTAACTAAACAGACCATAATATTTTAATTTGAAATATATTATTTAAACTAAAGATACCACAATATTCTAATTTGACAAATCTAAACCTAGCTTACCCTAATATTCTAATGAAGAATACAATGTGTTTTAATTTGGAATATATTATTTAAAATAAAGATACCACAATATTCTAATTTGAAAAATCTAAACCTAGCTTACCCTAATATTCTAATGAACAATACAATATCCAAACTAATTAACATACCATAAGATTCTAAAAAAACATACTACAATATTCTAATTTGGAATATAGTATCCAAACCAAATATACTACAACGTTTTAATTTGAAATACAGCATTCAATGCAAATATACAATAATTTTTAATTTGGAATATAATATTCAAACTAAACATGCTACAATATTCTAATTTGGAATACAATATCCAAATTAAATATATCACAATATTCTAATTTGGAATATATAGTATTATATTTTAGAATACAGTAGGTATACATGGTAAAATAGTTTTATAAAACAGGTATACAAAGTAAAATAAATATTTTAATTGTATATGGTATTAACTGATGTTTTCAATAGACATACCGCGTAGATTATTCTTCAAAATTTTTGATTGGAGTAATGGGGGACAAGTGCACAAATAGCCGCTTGGAGGATCGCAATTTAAGGTATAGCCAAAAATAATAAAGTACTCCTATTTAATATTTAACTACTTCGGAATCAACTTCCAATGTGCGGGACTAATAGCCTGTTTGGCCAAGCTTCTCAGGAGGCCAAAAGTATTTTTTTTTTTTCAAAAACACTTTTTTTTCCTAACTTGAGGTGTTTGGCCAAGCTTATTTGGGGGAAAAAAGTGCTTTTGGGAAGAAGCAGAAGCAGAGAAGCAAAAAAAAGTAGCTTCTTTCCAAAAGCAGAAGCAGAAGCAGTTTTGGCTTTTCTTCTTACCTAAAATACCCTTAACAAAATATAGTATATACCAAAATAACCCTTAAACCTAATACTTAGGATATTAATTTATAAATATTTCTTCTTATTTTTAGGAAAACTTTTTAATATATAGTGACTTTAGGGGTGAATGCTTTTATATTTGTTGAAGGAATTTTAATATATTTAACTTATATTAAAAGAATTAAGTACTTTTTAATTTTATTTTCGTATTTTACTTGAATAAAATGAATTTTTTATTAATTATTGCATGTAATAACAAAATTTTGAGATTATTTATTTACTTATAATATTAATTATTAAGTAAATCTATTCATGTCCTTATTCGTAATTTGACACTTAAAAGCACTTTCTAAAAAGTTTGGCCAAACACAAATTATTTCTCAAAAGTACTTTTCAGACTGATTAGCCAAACACAAACTGCTTCTCTACAAAAGTACTTTTTTCAAAAGCACTTTTGAAAAAAACACTTCTCAAAATAAGCTGATTTTTCCAGCTTGGCCAAACAGGCTATAATATTGAAAGTCAGGTATGAGATTATAAACTTCAAATATATGTTTGAAGTTTGATGTAACGGAAAAGGGTCTAAAATGCCCTTTTACTATATGAAATAGGACAGGCTAGCCCTTCGTTAAAAATTGGTTTCTATTATGCCCTTGCCGTCAACAAATGGGCTCGTATATGCCCTTCATCACTAACGGAAGACTCATAAAGCCACGTGGAATATATGTGAGGGCAAGTTAGACCTAGTTCGAATTGTACAGGGGCATATGTGAGTCAGTTATAATAGTCATTTCTCAAACACTTCACAACTCCATATCAGTTTACTTAGACACCTATTTGACAACACCTAACTAATTATCATAGCAAATAAACTCAGTCATAGACACAATAAATGAACGACAACGACTTTATTAGATCCTTGTATAAAAACACAAAGCTTCATTACATAATAAAAGACAACAATTAAGCCACAATATCACTAAAATTACATATCATTTCGCACTAATCCAAAGAACATAATAAGACATCCCAATATTACACACATGAAAATCCACATCTTCTTTCGAAATTTAGTATCAAGCACAATTGAGTACTCTAAATCGGTCACTTTCTCCATTAGAACATTTCTTTCCAATTCTAAGGCTTTTATTCTTCCATGATCGACGAGCATCATAACATTCTCAAGATCAAATTTTCCTTTGGAGAGCATTTCTTTCACGAATTAGAGCTTCATTTTCCTTCTTTAAACTGCACATGAGATTTGAAACTCTAGGAGGAAGCTCTTCATCTTCCCATTCCATGAATATTTTCATCCTAGAAACCAAAAATAAATAAAGCAAATCGGAATAATTAAAAGAACCCATCAAAAAATTTACTTACCTCATGCTTCGGACACTTGAAAAACCTTCTCCTAGCATTTAAAAGTGTCCATGCCCTGAAATAATTGGCAGTAAGTCCGTAATGACACCTCCTATTCGACCCATTTGAGCTACTAGGACATTCCGACATTGTCTTTTGTTATGATTCGACCCCTTTGAGCTACTAGGATTTAATGAAGTCATTGTCGTTCATTTGAATGTTTGTGCCTATGACTTAATTTATTTGTTGTGATAATTAGTTTGGTGTTGTCAAATAGGTGTCTAAGTAAACTGATATGAAGTTGTGAAGTGTTTGAGAAATGACTATTATAATTGACTCATATATGTCCATGTACAATTCAAACTAGGTCTAACTTGCCCTTACATATATTCCACGTGGCTTTATGAGTCTTCCGTTAGTGATGGAGGGCATATACGAGCCCATTTGTTGATGGCAAGGGCAGAATAGAGACCAACTTTTAACGGAGGGCTAGCTTGTCCTATTTCATATAGTAAAGGGGCATTTTAGGACCTTTTCTGTTGATGTAATAGCGCGGGCTAACCAGTTTTCGAACTGGTAATTAAAAAATAATCAGCGTTTGCAAAGTCATTAAAAATTAGTCATTATTTTGCTGCAGCACAAAAAGTCCCAGCATAATATACTGAAGATTGGAATTTGGAGCACTTGTGTATAAACTTCCAACATATTATACTGGACCGATATATTATACTGGAACTCCAGTATATCATACTGGAGTTCCAGTATATTATGCTGGAATATTTTTCGGATTTTGAACAGTGTTTTCGTTCAGATTTACCTTTACATGAAAAGTAGCTAAATTTTGATTACTTTTGAAACTGTGGCTATTTTTCAATGACCATTTGTAAATTTGACTATTTTTAAATTTCTCCCAAGTTTGATTTGCCAGAGCCCATCTTCGAACTTGTACATATTGGTCCAGGAGTGTATCTCGGGAGTTTTATAGTACACCTGAATCCATACTCCCTTCCCTAGATCATATATAGTAATATTATATCTTAAAAAAATATATTTATATAAATATGTGTGCATCCAAACTCAAAATATCATATAATGTGATAGTTATTACGTGCACCTCTTCAATTTTTCTATAACACTACTTCGATGGTGATGAGTAGTTATTGGAAAAATTTCTTGAGTATGATCGTACGTAATCATTACATTGAAATTTAAATTTTTATTGACTGTTCTTTTCGTTTTAAATAATTCAAGAATCCTGAAAATAGGTTACAATGTATGGTTTGTACGTGATCTTTTCTCCTTTGTATTCCAATGGAGTGGTAATTTGGAAATAATAACTACCAAAAAATTCAAATTATTGTATCACATATGATATAACCAACAAATACAAGATTAGGAGGAGAAAGAAAATTTTAAAAAACTAAAGATTTTGTAGTTGTGGCAGTCTAAATAAAAAGGAAATTAGAGGGGAAAAAAAGGGCAGAATAAAATAGGTGCTGATCGATAGAACATTTGATTCAACCACATCAGTTCATATTCTACTTCTTTGCCTAAAAAGTTCTATCATGTATAGCCTCTGAAACAACTAGGAAAAGAAGTGGATAAATAATTTTTAAACCGAATAGGTGTACAATTATAAATCACAAATTGAAAAGAAGGTTTCATAAAGAAGCAATCAATTTTGTAAAGCATAAAGGTTTTTTATGTTCCTTTAGTTTCATTCAGGTTTCTGCTTGTAACTTGTTTATTACTATTAATTTTTTTGTTTAATTAATTAAAAATTATAGAAATATAATACTTTTTGGGGTGATTTTGACTCTCACTTGTTCCATGGACAAAACTGGAATATCAAAAGTTAAAAGTGTTTTTAATGAGGCAAATAAGGAGCAACACTTGTTAAACTTAAAGTTCTGTCAATGGGACAAGCGAGATAAAATTTAAGACTATCTACTTTGAAAGCTATTTGTGTACTTCACAGATTTTTACGTGATTCGTTTGTAATGTTATGTCTTATGGGCCAATCAAGCCCGACTATTGAGGTCAGTGGGCTATTTGGAGCTGACTCAAAAGTCCCAATTTAAATGGGCTGTAAAAGTTATAGCGTTAACCTAGATAGTCGTCTACCTAATCTCTTAAACTGTAACGATCCGGTCGGTCATTTGAGAGTAATAGCCCCGATCCCCTATTTACTGCCTTTTCCGTATCTTTTTCTGCTTATGTGACTTGCCGGGAGGTTTTGTTTGTGGTTTCGGAGTGATTTAGGACACTTAGTCCCTAAAATAGAAGCTTAAGTTATAGGATTTTGACTATAATCGGAACTATATGAAGACGACTCCAGAATGGAGTTTCATCGGTTTCGTTAGCTCCGTAGGGTATTTTGGACTTAGGAGCGTGTCCGGATTGTGAATTGGAGGTTTGTAGCTAAATTAG